CTATAAATTTAATAATTGATATTTTTAAGGTTATGTTAGTCGTGTAATTAAGCAATAGGGAGAAGCTGAACGTTTATTAAATCATCAATTTGTACCCCACGTTAAATTCTTTACAAAAATTCTGTGTAATTGTAAACCGCCCTAAGTCCTTGACAATACTCAAAACCGACGCGGTTATCGCTCGAGGCTTCTAACTGTTCAAAGTCTAACGATGGCCGGTCTGAAACGTTGCAATACTGTCGAGCAGAATCGAGAAGTAACTCACTGACGTAGCCTAGCACTAATTAAGGACAGATTTCAATGAACTACGAGAATCATGGCGAATGTGAGGTTAGATCGGTTCTCGATTCCTCGTTCCGCCATATTATGCATGTCTGACATGCGAATACTGATGTTTCCATGGTGCGAACGTGAGCGACGATGGCTCCGAGACCGTTTGATTTCGTTACGATATTCGTTGGAACGAGTGACGAAAGCGCCAATGGATTTCTGCGAATTCCGTGTTCGTCTGTTTCTCACGGTCGGTAAATTATCTCCGTGGGAGACGTGGCGGCCGATAAAGAACGCGACCAAGATTCGTCAAATTGTATACGTTATTTTCTAATCGTTCAGAAACGATACCGAAAATTTTCTTTTTACACTCGTCTATAATTTTTCTTACAACGTTGGAGATTTCACGGAATGCATCGAAACGATATTTTCACTTTCTGCAAGAATCGTGCGAAGGGCGCCAGTTTTTTCATCTCGTCTGGATCCGCTATTTTTAATCCCAAGTTTCTTAACATTTGCCGCCATTACTGAATCATCCAACAACTATTTCAGTAGCGTATCAACGCAGCATGTCGTTCGCGTTCTAGCTTCTAGAACCATTTTCCCCTCTGACCGCAACTAAAATGCCAACGTTTAAGAAAACGAGACCCGTCCATTCGTCTCAGGCCTTGCGTCACGCGACCTAACCTAGACCGTCCGTGCAACATTCCTAGGGATGTTTTTAGAGTGAACGTAATGGGGAAATTGGAGAATTAGAATTCACAAGTTCTGTCGCGTTTACAATGCGCCTGTAACCTCAAATTTGCATGGACTATGTGTTAATGTAATAAATTATTAATTGACAATTTTACAAAGCCTTTTATATTAACTGCAATATTGAATATATAAAATAGAATTTTAATATTTGTTAAAGTTGAATATTTAAGTTGTATCTTTGATGAGAATAAAACAATGTCACATTAGGATTAGTAACTAGTTCACTACAGCACGTATAAGCTAATATCCACTGCACTCGTTTCAATTTAAAAATGCAATTAGAATCATACGATGTATAGGTCTGATTTACATATGGGAACAAGGATGCTTCATTCAGTAAAAATGTTATTTTAAATATATTCTACATATTCTCATGTAGCCTTGAATAAATAAAATTAGCGATAATAGATTATCAATAGCGTCTAGTATTTCTGGCAAATGGTGTGTTATTAATCTCGAACTAGCACGATCATTGAGTAACAGCTACCTTCAGGACACCAGTACTGTATTTTGCCCATAGTGTCGCCCCAACCGTTCACTGCGTTTTGTTGACCATCGCCTTGCGAAATTTCTACGATTTCTCCCATTGTGCCAATTATCCGAACACTTGTAAAAAAAAAAGAGCACCACAACTCCTATCCGTATTACAAGAACAGCTTACACTCCGAAATCTTCATTTAAAAATTTTTGTAAATCCCCCCAAAATCTATGCAACTGCATTTCAAGCAGTTTACATGAAATCACATGCTAAATACCAAGTTTAATGTACTTTTAAGCATGTACTTGCACATTGAGTCACTATTTTGACACAATTAAAAACAAAAGCACAGAAAATCATTTATCCCCGAGTAGCAGTTGGTTCACATCAAAAAGCGATTTTCACATTCACCGATCGAAGAATCAGTCTGTTCGCGCAGACCGTTCGAGAGAATCAGTCACACATTTCACGCGTGTCGCGGCGAACTCGATTGATCGCTCGAGTGACTCGTTGTCGGTCGACCGATCGCGGACTCGCGCTATCTTCACGGTGCAACAGACTTCAAGCCGGCTTTACCGCTAAAAGATTAAAGCAGGATTTCCAAGCGGCGTCGAACGACCCATTCGACGGAACGTAACACCGTGGCACACAAGTCCGTTCGTAACTTTCACAAACACACATAGAGAGACGTTGTGATCGGAAACTCGACAAGGCAAAAGCGGAAGAAAGACAGAGAGATAAAAGGCAACGCGAAGAGAAATCGTAGCGACGATGTGTCACAACGAGAACACAGGGTGAAAAAACCGTCAACGTAACAGCGCAGTCATCTTGCGATGACACATCGAGTTTGATCGACTGGTCGCCGTCGCGATTCCTCGCACTCGGTACCGCACAGCTGGACGCGAGACCACGCGAAGCATATCGTCGAATAGGAAACTGGACACAGCAACGATACCCGGGGAGCAACGACGACGCGTCGTCGAACACGAAATCGTACACGAATGACGTGCCGGTCATTCATGGAGCCCGCCGTCATGCCGATGGAATGCGCGTATCATGGAGGTGAAATCGCGTCGACCAATCGGTGTCCACCTAGCGCCGGCTTCTGCGTTCGCGAACCACGCGCGCCACGTGACTCCGCCGCTCGACCACGTGACGACGTCGCACCTCCCACCATGCGACCCAGCCGCACGACATGATCGCGTGACGTCACGACCAGCTGACTGCGCTAGTACGGTTCCCTACTCCTCTTCCTCGTCCTGCTGCCTGCTACTGCCGCTCTGCTACTTGTACTCCTTCTCTGCCCGACTTCCATTTTTCGATGAATCCGTTCCGAACGCACCGAAATTGACGCGATGCGACGCGCCACCGTTACCAACCCGCCCGCGCGCCAAGAATAGGTTCGAAAGGCGGTTTTCTATGCGGGGGCGATGGTTTTCGTTGATGGTTGGAAAGTCGGACAAACAGGTGCTATACAAGAACCGTTTGGAGAAGAGATTCTGAAAAGAGATCTGCAATTTGGAGTGTAGATAATGTAGGAAGAGACCGAAAGTGTCTCTCTCTCTCCGTGATAATTGTTTCCATGGAAATAGAGTCTGTCGCAATTTTTGAAGGTTCTTCTAGCATGAGTCAAGTTGTAAATTTAACGGGTGTCCGTGGCACATCGTAGAAATTCGGCAAGGCAATATTTTTCAGTCGAGGAATAAAACACGCCGACGTTCCAACGTGTAGATTAATGTTTATCTTTACGTTTGAATCCACGGGGAGATTTATGACCCTGGTCGGCTGGTATCGCTCGATAAATCCGGGGTCAATATTATTAAGTAAAATATTGGCGAAACTGGTTACATAATTTTTGCAGGGCACTATACTCGATTTGTAACAAAATCATGTAAATACGAATATAAAAATTAATTTTAGCGAGACTGTTTTGCAGATAGAGAACAGAAAACAATAAAAATCATTATTCAAAATGGAATCCTCAAAAATCCCCGATTTTAATATGTAGTGTTTTTTTGTACTTATGTATATTTCAACTTTTTTTTTCTGTTTACTCACCAGGATCGAAGTCAGTCCCGCCTGCATCCATGCCACTTGGATTTCCATATCCTAAAAAAGTAAAAATTATTAATGTTAACAATAGCGAAGAAAGAAACGAATATCAGAGCGCGATGTATTAATAAAATAAAGCCTGCAGCTACATTACCTATTAATTATCAATTGCAAATATAAAAAATATTTCCCGTACTACAAATCTAGTCGTAAAACGTACACTAGATAGCGTTTACATCGTAATAACCTAACTGGCAAACTCCGTTCTAAAATTCCATTGGAAAGCCGAAATATATATTGAAAGCATATCTTGAATCGCATGAATGTACCTCATTGAAAACATACTAACGCATTACCGTACCAAAAGCACAACAAACCTAACCTAACCTAACCAAACTCTGTACTACATTAATAAAACAAACGGGGTATGAAAGCAGGTCGATGCCGTGCTTACGACATTTTGAAATCTTACATTATCAAAGCTAAAACGGAAAACAGTCATAGACTGTGTAAATATAGTTGGGCTTGAAAATACGCGGGTTGTTCGCAGTTTGCGTCGCGAACCATGAACAACAAATTCTAATGATGGGAATAACGTTCTCGGAGATAATATTGAAAGTTACGGAAAATGTATTAATTATTTCGCCATTATGTGCCGCCATTAAGTAAAATAAATGCTCCAGTGATAGGCGACACATAGACAAGACCTTCGCAATTACTCGGTCTTATAAGTAACATTGACATACTGCGGTAATGCTGCTTAATTATTGACAAAGTTTTGTATCGTTGTTTCACGTGTCGTCCATGAAAATCATTATATAATTTCACACGTTATCAACCGCATTACATCGATTAAAGTTACTGTCGTTTTCTTCTTCGCGTTCGAACGCCACGAGGCGTGCACGGTCGATTTCAACAAGTACTTATGAGAGCACTCGAGCCGAATGTAAATTTCCAAATATTGACTGATGAATATTTGTATTCTGTAATCAGTGTTTGTTCAAACGTCGAATGCAACACGCACGGTGTTTCGACTCCTCGTTCAATTATCGACGGTCGAACAATTATCGCTATTCCCATCGATCGAGAATTTTTTCAATGATAATCGAATAATACTCCCATCACTAGCCGAGATAGGTACACATCGTGACCGTTTCGTTTCGAGGCCAAGAGCCAGCTCTACTTCTGGGGTGGGGATCGCGCCTATGGCACGTGTGAAATTTACGCGAATCGTGGCCAGACGTGGTTCCTTCGTTTTACGTGTGCGCGCCCTGTCAACGTGTGTGTTTGTTAGCTTTCCGTGTGGCCCTGTGTGTCGCATGCGTGTGTGCCAGATAGGTGGATCGGCGAGTTACATCACGCGTGTTCACCCGGGATTATTCCGGTTGTCTGGCCGAGCGCGGTCAGGGTGCCTGTCACACAGAACTGACAACAGAGGACGGTTCTCAGAGAGCGGGACTTTCGAAAGGAGCACTTGGTCGAAACGACGTCGCGATGCACGAAAGCCGTATCGGAAGTTGCGAATATTCAACTCGTGAGGACCGTGGACGTGGAAGGAAAAGAGGGATGGGAGGGAAGAAACAGAAAAGGAGAAAAAAAAAAGAGGGGGAAAAAGTTAAAAGCACGAACTAGAGAAAGAGAGGAGTGTAAGAGAGAGTGCGTATGTGTACGCGGGTGTGCGCGCGAATGTATGCGTATATGAGAAAGAGAGAAAGCGAGTAGAAAAGAGAGAGAAAGAAGGAGTACGGGGCGCGAGGTAAAGAGGGAGCCAGAGGGAAAGAAAGACAGAGAGAGAATATGAGAAAGAGAAAGACAAGGTGAGAGGAAGAGAGAAAGAGAGAGAGTAAGACGAAGGAGGAAAGAGGACAGGGTTTGTCTCTCGGCCGATACGCGGCCGGCCATCTTGGATTCTGGGTATCGTTGAAAAATAGCAATTCTTTTCGGCGGTTGACAGAACGCCATGAGGGCTGAAAGGAACGATCGGACGTGTGCGAGCCCGCGATGCTCACAGACCGTGCGCGGAGTAACGGCGCGAGTCAACCGCAACGGAGGTCGTTGCGTTTGCTCATGGAAAAGACGGTCCTGGTAACCGGAGGCGCAGCACACGGTGCCACAGCCACGGAAAGATGTCGGGTCGCGCACATTTGCAACACGTATCAGAAGTCATGTCCGATACGAGACACATCGAACACTCGTGCACTTCGGATCGTACGATCCCATCGTCCTTACTTTGCGGTTGATCGTCCAGGCTTTCCCGGTCAGACATTGCTCTTTAACGCGGTCTCTCTCTTCGGTTCCACGCGTCGTCCCTCGACGTCTCGGCAACAGGCCCCAAGACGACCAAAAATCCCCGGCACTGTCCGTGGCGCGACCCCGATAAATCACCACTAACCAGCCAGCTCACCAACCCAGCACACCACTTGCGAATTTTTCACTTCTTCACACACCACGGTCCGACCGCCGACCGACCGTCCGTCCACGGCACCAGTCGTCACCACCACCACCACACGCTCGCTCGCTCGCTCTACACCGTTCCACGCTCGCTGGCCCGACTCGCGCTCGCCCTCGCTCGCTCGCTTCTTCGTCTTTCACTCTCGCTCCACCTCCGAACCCCGTCGCGGTGCGAGAGAGCGAGATACCGCTACACTTACTCTATGCGAACGCACACACTCCTGACCTTTCGTCGTGTGACCTGCGCGTGTCCATCTATATAAGACTACTTCATAGCCACGACACGATCCGTTTTATCTTTCTCTCTCGATTCAATTCCGACTGTCCTCTGCTTCTCTTTCTCGCACCTTCGCTCTTTTTAGCGGTTCCTATCGTTTTATCTCTGTTTGACCAACCACGAGCTTCTCTTATGAACGAATGGTGGCACCACCGTATGCTTGTTCGTATCTCGCTTTATATCGTATCGTATCGTATCGCGTCGACGTCCATCTTGCGTTCGAGCTATCGAACCAACTTGGTGGCGCTTCGGTAAAATCGACTCTCGGCCGATTGGTGCATCGCACGCCTGCGCACTTGAACGTGAATTTTTCGAAATTGAAAATCGTGATTGTTCGAAGCTATAAATCATTTTTTCATATGTGTCACACGCGGAGATATAATAAGCGTTTATTGCACTTAAATTTTATGCTTTACTGTTTATTCATAATTACTTTGCGTTCTAAGGAAATTGATCATGCACTGAGTTGGACTTTGACAACGCAAACAAAAATATTTATAAGCATAAAAATAATGTACTAGATGATTAATTCATGTCTTTTAATACTATGTTGCTTGTAATTTACAATAATTGGCATTGCAAAATATATTTTTACCAAGTGAAGCATACTTTGGTGGTAAATTAAATATACAGCTAATTAATTGAATCATTTTATTCATTATTTTTTAAGCAAAAACACAACAAAATTCAAGTACACTTATTCCTTACACGTTTACTTTAATTCAACTAAAATATAAGTATACGATAATATGTCTCGTGTAAGATGCAATGTTAATGCTTATATGCTTATGAATGTATGCACATCAGTTGTAAATACTTGATGAACATGTTAGTTGATGTATGAAAAAATCAATGTATCTGTTTGGTATGCATGTCCAGATAA